CTTGACAGAAGCCAGCTAGCAAGTTCAAAAGTGTAGGGTAGGCACAATCTCATCTACATGCACACACAAAGCACAGTAATAAGCTTCACTTCCTCAGGAAATCAGACTAAAAATGGCACATTCTTGAAAAGCAAAAGTCTGGGCAAAATCCCATGTCTTTAGAACTAGAAGCATAAGTCAATGTCCTGGCTAAATTATTTTTTGCCTTCCCATTTTCTGTTAGGGGCTAACTATACTATAGCTTTATATCTACCCAATTAGAGTCATGAATAATCAAATATTGCTCTGGAAGCTTACTATTTGAATATGTTCATTTGGAGTGAGTAGATTGGACACTTAATAGGACACTATCAACTACTTTCTAGTATAAAAATGCATGAAAGATCCATTTTGGAGAAAAGAAAAAGCAATACCTTCTAGTCAGTTCTTCATAAAATTACTATATAGATGAATGCAGAACCTGCCAGCAGTTAATATCACCCTGAAGCACTGTGAATAAACATTTGTCTGGTATTAGGTACACACACATCTCCACATATAAATCAAGGAGCAATGTGCCATATAGATGAACAAGAGAAGAAAAAAAAAACCTACCTTGTCCTATATTAGACATTAAGTGCTTCTTTTGATCACAAAATAACTCATAAAGCCTATCAAAAAGCTAGCACTTCTCTCTATGTCAGATAAAAGACATTTCACTGTAATTAAACTTCTGTCCAACTTTCTAGAAGATTAGGGGAAGAAGTCTGACAGGCTCTATTTATATTTGTGACTGACACTCCTTGGGACATCCAAGGAAAAAAGAAGATGGGCTATAGATTGATGATACACTTCTGAGCTAACAGCACTTGTGGAGATGGACTGTTCTGAGCTTATCATCACTCATTGGGGTTTTAATAAAAAAAAAATCCCTGCTGCCCAACTCATAAGCATTTTCTGTTCAGTTTGCAATCTACACTTCCCAGCATACAATGGTTCAGTTTTTTATTTCATTTAAGCGACAACACACAGAGCATTTTATTTGGATAAATCAGCTTTCCATTATTTATATGAATAAAGGTGGTAAACGACCACATCTCTTAAAAAACTCTGAGTACTTGGAGAAGGAAAATATTTTTTTCAAACATATTCTATGTATCCCTTTTCAAACAGGAAACTATGTCAAAACACATGACTGAGTTTGTGACACTAGGTGATGACAATAAGCCATCAGCTCCAGGATTCCAACACCAGAACCAAAGATTTACTGCTCTTCCAGTTTTCTTTGTGCCCTTCATCCTGCTCACTACTAACTTCACCTATGTGTTTCCTTGCTTTTGACTTTCTACAAGATACCTTAGTGGTCCAAAGTCAGTCAAACACTTACTTAGACAACAAGAGCAAAAGTAGAAATTACAAGTTTGGAAGGGACCATAGAGAACCAAAACCCTACATTTTCATAGCCAGTCTTTCAGAACTGAAGCAAGATCAAACTGTAAGCAGCATTTGTATTACAAGCTACAACTGTCAACTCCTGAAAAAGTGCATTTCCAGATACCAGATCCATAGCTTTCCCATTCAGGGGGGGCGGGGGGAAATGTGCTTCAGTGATGACTGCATGGTTAAACTGACCCACTAATTAAATACCTTCCTTTCATTACCTTTTCCTAAAGAGCAGAGCAAGTACACTTCATGCTACTGAAGTGGCCCTGAACAATCTTCTTCTGAGCTTTTAAAACTTTAGATTGTTATCTACTTCCCTGCAGTTACAGAGCTCCACGATACTTCCTGCTGTTACTGCTGAAAGTATCATTTACTCTATATACACAACTTGTAGCAACACACTCCAAAACAGCAGTGAGATTCTATCATATGCAATTAATGGCACTTTCAGCTACATTACTCAGCAATCCTAAAGTTGCAGAGAAGTGAGTTGTCTCCTATGTGTTCAGTGCAAGAGTGACCCCTCTTCTCTTTCACCTCACCAGCACCACAGGAAAACCAGCAAGCTCCAAGGGACTCCACACAACCCAAACAAGTAAACAAACACTGTTAAAAGAAATTGATTTAAACCCACTGTTCAGGAAATTCAGTCCTGCGGTTTTGTGTCTAAAAAGATCCAATCTGATCCAATCTAAAAAGATCCAATACAGCAAATAGGATTTGCATCATTTGACCTTTGGGAGACCTTGAGACACTGGCAGTTGCACAGGTTACACAACCACAGATTGCACTTCAGATCCACAAGCCAGAAGCAGGGAGAGAGTATCAGTGCAAAGGCTGATTTGTAATGATGTAGCATTTCTGTGGTGTGATGACCTCTATTCCCTTTTTAATAACAGAAATACTGGGTCTAAAAAAATACACAGTAGTAAATGGAAAGCTATTCAAGAATGAAAGACTGAGACAAAACAAACTCTGTTTGTTTAGTGAATCCATCTGCCATTTGGAAAACACTGTTACCAGTGTGTTTGTATATTCTAACTCTTCATTCTTAGATCAACCACAGGACATTGAGAAGCAGTTGATCTGGATTTGCCTTCAGTTTTACAGAATTGGATGGGACCTTCCATAGCAAATTGTCCCCTTGAGATGACTTTTCCTTCCTTGCCTGGTTTGTTTTCTGAAGTCAAGTCATGATCATATTCCATTACATTAGCAATTAATTCCTGGTTTGCTACCAAACAAAAGTTTCCCTTATCAGAGAGAAACTGGGGACTGTTTGTCTGGTTGTGAGATAAATAGGAGCTGACAAGTGTCTATCACAGTCACTAAATAATGTGGGAAAGGTACCATCCCTGGGAATACAAAAACAGGAAGACTGCAGTGAAAAGACAGAAAATAATCAGCTTGCAAAAAACCCTCCCAGGCAATCTTCTACCTGTGTTTAAAAGCTCAGTGTTGACCATTCACTGTACGTAGTATCAGCCATTTAGGGAAGGGGGTCACATCACCATCTTTAACAACACACTCAGACCTCTCCCACTAAGCTGAGTTTTGTCCTGCAGCAACAGGTAAGCCAGGACTATCTATGCTTCTCCACTTGATTGCCAAAAAATTAAACTTAATGTCAAGTTCTGATTAGGTTTTCTTAAGCATCCACCAAATTACTAATTTTAATGGAGAAAATTAATCAAAGCTTCTTAAGCAAGCAAAAAGTTCTTGTCTTTGTACTGCACGTTGCTCTATGCACACATTAGCAACAACTACAATCAACCACAGGCCCATCAGAACTGAAGAATTAACACATTTCAACTAAAGGCAAAAGAACATGCAGCTGAAAAAAACCCAACAGAAAACTGAGTGCTGGGCTCAGTCACTAGAGGGAGTCATAATCACATATTAAGTTACTGTAATAATGTACAGACCATTCTGAACACAATTAAGAGGCAAATAAAAGAGAAGACCGTCTGCTAAATCTGGATGTCATTCAGGGAAAAGAGAAAATGAGATCTGCTTCTTTAACAAGGTTTTATTTCCAAAGACTCAAGACCTTCTCTAGGGAACTTTTAAATCATCTATAATGAAAGGTTATAAAAATGTATCTTATTGCCTACATTTTTAGACAGAAGAAGGTATGCAACAGAAGAAGGCTGAAATTATCAGTTTTGGAAATGACACACAGTGTTCCATCAGGAAAATGTTAGAATTTTAATTTTGCAGCTTTACAGCCCATTTCACTGGAAATCAAAAGTAATCTTACTCATGTTTTCATTTTTAAACTAAATTAGCAAAATCACATCCAGCATGAACAGGCACCACCAGAAGGCTGCTTTTCCAACAGATGATTCCCCTCGGCCATTAATACATTTAGAAAAAGAATTTCTCTGACAGGCTGAGAGAAGCAGCCTGAAAAAAAAATTAAAATCAATAACTCAAACATTACCATCATTCTTTTATTTGACCAGTTGTGGGTTTGAGGGTTTGCTTGGTTTATTTTCAATACATGAAATGTTTTTTTTTGTATTGGTGGGATTTTTCCCCCCCACTTTAAACGTCTTTGCAAAAACCACAAAACAACTGGGCCAGCTGCACTCCTGGGAATTTACACTTGGCTAACAATTTTACAACTGACTAAACAGTTTCTTTACCAGGAGCAGCACACATGAAGCTTTTAACAGGCAGCTAGAATCCTGCCCATCAGCAGTAAGATGGAGCCCAGAACACAACCATCTCTTGAATCAAAATCTGCCACATATCCCAGAGGACACATTAGCAAATGCAGCCCATGACAAACCAAGAGTGCTTGTCCTGGGCTCAATTACACAGTATTTGACTGCTTTACATTCAACGTGTTTACACCCAAGGCTCAAATTCTCCACACTTCTGCTGCTTACACAAGTCAGCTAACACCTTGGCAATACAAACAGTCCAAGAGAGCCTTTTTGAAAGGCTCAAGGATAGTTTTTAACAAGAACAGACAAAAGGTTCCTACTGTGAGGAAATCAAAACAGCGTGGGAAGCAAGAATGTGCACACTGAGAAGTGCTTTCTGGCACACTACAGAACTGTGCTAAGAAACGTTGTGTGTAACCAATGCAGTCTGGGAAGTTCAGCTCTGGCAGACAAATTCAGCAGTACCTTGTCACCAAAATTGCAAACATACTTTTCCTCTGTCTTATACACAAGCTGGTCCTTAAAGTAGTCAGTAACAGTCCTTGGGGCTCGCACTCACTTCCCACACCCAGAGAACTGCTTTGTACATTTTGCTGTAACATTCCCTTTTAAGATAAGATGGTCTGGGAAAGCAGCTTACTATCCCCCTTGAAAACATTTTTAGCTCATAAAATAAAGCTGGATAAACTCAACATTACGTCCTCTCACAGTCCTTCATCTTTTTCTTCCTGCAAGGATCTAAGTAAGCATAAAACTCTTCATGAACTTGGGAAAGATAGTGATAACTCTGTGAAACAGCAGAGAAATCTAAAGAGCCATCCTCTCAGGCTGCAGTCCTTGGTTTCTTTATATATGCTTTAATATAGCAGTATCTTGCTACCAGTGTCCACTATTGGTATCACTTACCTGTTTGTGATGGTAGAGTTCTGCTCTTTCAGCACAAGCTCCCTTTGCTGCAGGGCCACGATGTGCCTTGAGAGATCATCAGGTGTCCTACACAATTAAAACAAAATAAAAACTCTTCACAAATCATTGGCCAAAATTGTTCCATATGTGACCATAAAAAAATTATCATAAAAAGCAGACAAAGCATTGCCACCAGAGCAAAGTTGCTGCAGCTTCTTAAGATCAAGAAAGCTGCATCCCCGGCCATCAAGGCCAGTTTTAGTCAAGCCACTGTTGTGCGCTGTAATCACCACCCATGTCACATCACTGTTCAGTTCAACCCAGAAACCAGCTCTAAACCCATAGAGTCAGAAAGACCTAATTCAGCAAAGCAAGCAACCTGCATAAACATCCATACCAGATGAACGCTTTATCATTTGAACATACATCTTTGGGGGTATTTTAACATACATAATAGATGTTCACAACCTGCTCCCTACTACCCTACTGCTCAGCACAAATACACAGGAATGAGTACACACAGAATTACTCTAATTGCAACTCAACTATGGAATCTCAGTGAAGCATGATCCCAGGATCATTATCAAGAGGGTAAGAAAAGGAGGGAGTGCACATACAGACTATGAAATTCAGCAGCACTGGCTACTGCTGAGTAACATCTGATAGTATAGAGGTTCAGCTACATCACAGGTGGCTCGAAGCAGCATTCTGACCCAACTACCAGTGTGCTGACTTCAGAGTCCTTCACACAAGCAGTGACTCCAGAGCCATGGCAGGGGCAGTGGTATCCATCAGATGCCACTCTGATAACCTTTTCTTGTCAAAGAGATCAAAGATTTCTACCGGTTCACTAGAAACAGCTCTGCAATTACCAGGATTATTTTTCCATTAAACCCAATGACAAATTCTTAGAGCTAGTGGAATGGGATCAAGATGACTCTAGTCTGGCAGTCCCAGAAACCACATCAACAGTCTCCACAAGAGATAATGGGTTTTTTTCAGAGATGTCTCTTAAACTTGTAAGAGATTCAAATCTAGAAAAAGGCAGCTTATGAAAAAAACATAAAAAGATTTTTTTCTTGTGCCACCAGAAAGGGTTTCCCATCCCAAAAGGGAAGCATCTGTATCACATTTCTCAAAGAAAGCTGGAAAGGGCATCACAGTATATATGTGGTCCATCCTTTTGTTACACCAAGGTGCAACTCAAAGGTGATGTGACCCAAAACTTGAAGGGGCTTTTTCATAGGGAACAAGTGGCAAGCTAGTTTTGCAGAAGAAAAAACTGTAGAAATGCATTATTTTGTGTCCTCCATGATGCAAATCAAAGCTTCACTGTCAATGATAGATTAAATTAAACCTGGGCAGATTTTACATTATTCAAATACAGACCTGGAATAAGGCTCTTGCCACTTCAAAAACTGAATAGGTAGGAGACATTGCTCCAGCTTGACCATTGGGAGTCTGAGTGAATCCAGGACTAAAGAAGCTATTTCTCTGATGATACCACTTTTCAGCCAACTACTCACATATAGAAAAGGCATCACTTTTTCCTCTTTAATCATCCACCACTTCCAGTCAAGTGGAAAAAAACAGTTAAACACTCAGTTGATGCAGATAATCAGGATTCAATTCTGGCAATCCCAATTCAAAAGTTCCTCCTTTTTGCTTCCACAATTGCACACCTGTAGTCTTCCACAGCAGAAGCCTCTGATAGCACTTGTGTTACATTCAAGTCTTAGCAGTCAATATGAAATAGAACAGATGGACATGGTCTCCCTCAGACAATGGAGACATATTGCAGCAGCCAAGGAAATCTATTAGAACAGAATGAAACAGTGTTCTTCAAAGACATCATACTCAATGGCTAAGGAAACTATGAGAAGAAACCAAGATATCAACCTGGAGATGGCTTGATTAAAACATCCACAATTCAAATTCTGGTAGCAGAGACGAGTCAGTTTTAAGCCAACATGCTTTTCAAATGTGTTGCAGCACCAGGTAACACACTTCAAACAAACTGAGCCTGAAGAGATTCTTATTTTAAGCTGTTCTCTTTACTGAGAGTTACTTAATGGCTGAGCATCAGAGCAAACACTAGAGACTAGAATTGAGCCCTGCCTGATGCAAACCACATTGCCACATAACCCAAGAGCAAGGGGAAAACAACACTGGTTTCTTGGAATCCCAGCTCTGAAGAACTCAAATCTTACACGCCTCTAACTTTGTTTTTCAAGTTCAAGGACTTGGGTTCCTTCTACTGATATATAAATGGAGAAATAATTATAACATATGCCAGAAACTGGTTGGATTTCCATGCTCCATGATGTCTGTGGGAGACAAAAAAAAAAAAAGCAACAGCAAAAATCCTACAAGAAAAGTCTATAAACTACAATCCGATTTCAATATGGAATCAGTAGCTTCTATCTGCAGGAAGTGGTTCCCTGACTCAGATATTTTTTTTCATGAATTAAGGAAGTAGATGTTCTCTTTCCACAGTAGTTTCAAATTAGAAAGATCCTAGAGATAGGTTAGGAATAAAGGCAACTTGGTTTTAGCACTGAGGTAAAAAAAAGTATGAATGTTTCCCTTTCCATTTCACCATCTTTCACCTATTAGAGCCACCAGAAGCTAAAAACAGAATACACCAGACAGAAATGAACTAGGTATGCTTAGGCTGTTTGGCAAAAAGAAGCTGTAAGCAAACACACTATTTTCAACATGGACAATCTTTATAAAATTGAAAGCCAAGTCAGCAAGTTTCTGAAAAATGCTGTTCTAAGCCTCTCATAATTTAACCAAATACAGCATATTTACCACAAGGGTAGTCAGTATCAGGCATCTGTCTTGTTGAGTGCCAGCTCCCAACACAAGTGTTTGGTCCCTGCATCAATGAAATAATTGCAGATTTTCCTTAAATGGGCAAAAAAAGTATATTTGCCTGGATCTTTTTTTCCTCATTTTCTCAGAAATTCATACCATAATGTATTAGGATTGAGAAAGAGACCTGAAATTAATCCAGTAGTCAAATGAGATAGGATTATAAAAGCCCCAGATTCCTGGTAATGATAGCTACTGACAGAATTCCAGTAAAAAACTATTATCCTCGTCTGTTCAGCAATTCAAATCAACAACCAGCTTCCAATCTTAGTTTCAGCAACTGGCAGCTTTAGGTTTATACTTATTTCTGGAGGATGTTCTATTGGCATTAAATACTTTTATTTTTTTTGCTGCTCCACTTTAAAAGATATTGCCATAGTTTAACACTGGGCCAGCAACTAAACAAAAGACAGATGCTCTCTATTAACCCCTCTATCATCTGCTGCCTCTTCAGCTTCAAGGTCAGATGCAGTTTGTCAGTGGTGGCATCTTCTCTGTCAGGACTGATCTCTAAGAGAAAATAAAGTCAATGGGTATTAATGCCCTGTAAAGAAGAGTTCACTTTGTATATAACTAAACGAGGTCAGGTGATTAGAGACAAAGACACCCCTTGCATGCACTCTGATGTCAAATACCCTGTATTGAGTGGTTTCAAAGCTTGTTTCTGAGCCCTACATCCCATCCTGATCACACACAATTTGGCAAGTGCCAAATTTACACAGTTCCAAGCAGAAGAATGACATTGCATGCATAATGAAATTGAATCAGAGCTTTCAATTTGAAGAGAACTGGTCAACTCCGAAAGCACCACAAATCCCAACCACCCTCATTGCTGTAAACCCCCCTCACTTCACAAGTTTCTGAAAACAATGCCACATAAAGAGAGAAAATTTTCAGAATCTCAGCACACACTTAAGATGTTCTGGCCTTGAATGGGCTGGCTGTATATAATTTTTGCTAAAGCTCCTTCCATTCCCTATGGAACAATTGATATAAAAAGGAGTAGTAAAAAGCCAAGTCTGCTTTAAGAGAATGTGTCTGACAATATATCTTCACAACACTGCTTGAATCACCATTGCTACTTGAGGGAAGTTTGAAACTCTATCCTTACATAAATACACCCAGAACATCGTTTCTGAGAAGCTGCTTCTTTCTGTGCTGTCACTATGTTTGCCCTGGAAACCTGCAGACAGTTTTCCTTCCCCACGGAGCCAGGAAAAAAAAACACCTAATTTGTATCAACCCTGCAAAATCCTGTAAATGAAACACACACACCTAATGGCAGGATTCAAGAGCAGTGTGTTATTAAAACTGAATAATATGCTATGTAATTAAAAATTAAGAACAAATGACAAGAAGTGGCTTCCAAAATAAAAGTGCAGATTAAACCACTGACTTCAGTTCCTTTCTTCCTTTGGCATAAAGAGCCAAAAGCTCTTATGAGAGTTGGTTTCAACCAGAACATTCTTCCTCTGTCCCACCATCCCCATCTCTGAAATGGCACTTCCTTCTGCAATAACACTTTTAAGCAAAAATTTAAAACCAAACTAACACCAAACAGGAGAATTTAAGCCTAAATTTTACACCTTTTTTTTTTTTCCCTAAAGAAGAAAATTAGCCCAGCATAGCTTAGCAGCACAGGCAGAAAAGGGACAAAACTCTGTTAAGCAAAGCTCTTTGGCTTCCTTTGAAGTTCAGATAAATTGAAAAGGAGCAATTTAAGAATGATAAAAAACATAAAACTGTTCAAATGAAGTGAAAAATTAATTTAATGGGAGGCCCATCTGAGTCACTCAATGACTTTCAAGCACCCACCGGCACACTAACTTTTAACAAAAAAATAGCTTACCCTTTTTTTTATGCTTTCTTTAACACACACAACTGGAATTTCATAAACATTTGCTAGAAAGCTCTGTCTTAGCTAAGGATCTATTATAATTTCAGTACAAAACATGACATTAACACGCCAAGAATTAGCTGTTTAAGTAACATTAAACCAAGACTGAGTAAGCAGACGAAGATGTTAAAGTAAAAATTTGAGTATTTTTTAAAATTTATTATTTATTAGAACGTCAACTTCTTATTGCTTCTATAAAATGTTTCAAAATTCACAGCAAAGGAAAAGTTTGATTGTAGCTCAATATCTGTCATTAATTTTTAACTATGGCAGTGCAAGTCAAAAGTAAAACTGAAGAGAAAAACAGCCACTT